AGCCAGCCATGCTGGCTGGGGAATTCTGGGAGTTGAAGTCCACCCATCTGAAAGTCGCCAAGGTTGAGAAACACTGCCTTAGGATCAAACTGCTGCAATACAATAATGGCTCCTGACGGACTTTGGTCTCCTCAGCATTGTCAGCTAGGTAGTTATGTGGTAGAGTAAATTCTTCACTGTATTCTTTTGAGGATTCTCAGAATTCTGTATTCTGCGCTGAGTTCTTTTGAGGAAAGATTTGATACAGGGCAGGCAGGCATTTCACAGAGAAAAGGTCACTCACATCCCTCTTCACTACTTCTTCTTAAACCAAGGATTGAAGTTGATTTTCATGACCTTTTATGACAGGTATAGGCAACCTAACCTCCCTCCAAAATTGCTAGGCTATGGCTCCCACAATCTCTTTCCCATGCAGCTGATGTGGAGAAGCCCACAGCATCTGGTGGACACCAAATTATCTCCTCCTGCTCTGTGACATCTATACTTTATGACCCCAATGTACAGTTCACACTTTTCGTGAAAAGAGGTGGAAATTCTTATATTGAAAAGCTTGGGAAATCAGGGGTTGTGAAAGCTGGAAGTAGAGAAAAGAAAGGCTCTTTTAAAAACCGCTTCAGAGAAGAGATCAGAACTTTAAAAAAAGATTAGCATCTGTAATGGTATGTGGGAAAGTCCTTGGGAGACTGGGCCAAGAGACGCTGCCAAGGGGATGGCCAGTTAAGAGACTTGCAAGACGGATGTCAGCCTCCCCGGGTAAACCAGATAGGAATCACAACCAGACGAGCTAATTTTACTTTATTGTAATGCTACATTGACAGAGTCTTGCAAGTCTGAAAGTACAATTCTCCCCCATCTCCTTTACAGCCTGAGAAACTAGGGAGGGTCTCTTCTGAGCCTCTTGCTCCTCCCACTATGCAGCTGTGGGCTATGCTGTCTCTTATCTGAGCGTTCTCTAGGCAATTTCCCAAGGTCTTTCCCACATACCATTACAACACCTAAGTTTGAGTTTAAGCACAATACTAAAAGCATCCCAATACTGTGTAGTTTGTTTAAATCAGATTGCAGCTGAAGAGAGCCAGAGTCAAGATGCAGCAGGTGTACTACAAAGCCATTTTAGACACTTTGTACTTGAAAGTCTTAAGCCAAAATTTGGGTTAGATATTTAGTCTCCTTGAAGATGGCAGAAGCTACTTACATGATCACCCCTTCCCCCAAGAAAAGCCACCGGGGGGGGGCGGGGATGTTACTGGATTCCCACTCCCAGAAATCCCTAATCATTGGCCATCATTGTTCCCCCACCCATCCTTACATATTTAGTGAGTGAATCTGAAAGCAGGGATGAGTTGAAATGGACATCACCCACATGCAAGATCCATCATCCTCTTGTACAATTTGAAGCATTGCTTTTGGTCGCAACTCTGGGCAGAGTTCAAGGGCTAGTCTGATTTATGGGGCCCCAGGTCAGAAGTGGGCAATCCAGAGCCCTTGACTTAACTTCCTTTGCGTGAGATCAGACTTCTAATAAAAACTAACTGCCCCTTCCTACCAACTTGCTGCTTGAAGCAGAGAAATAAAGAGAAAAAAGGACGGTCTTTTGACTCTTGGATTCCCGCCCACCCACCACTACTACCTCCATCTCTGTTTACCATACCCTCAACAGATTTGACTTAAAGGAAAAGGTTGCCAACTTTGGTCCTAAATGTATCCCAGAGATTTCTTTCTGGCATGTGTTACTGTATTGCCTCTATTGAAATAATAAACGGAGGTCCTACCCTTTCAGCTAGAGGAGATTATATGAAGCCATGTTTTCTCAATGGTGGCAGCTTTGGCATCTTGTCGACCTTATCTTAGCTGTGAAGTGAAACATGTTTGTCTCAAGGCTTTTTCAGACCTTTGAACTGTTGCAGCACGTGCCCTGTGGAACAGCTTGGTCCCCACCCTGATGAGATTTGGATGGCCCCGATCCTACTGGCCTTTCTTAAGGCTCTCAAAACCTGGCTGTTCCCACAGGCAGTAGGCCAGATTCTTGAGTGAGCTGTCTCTAGGAGGCATAGTAGCAGATTGATTAGCATCCTTGGTTGCCAATTTGCTTTGCTTATTTTGATAGGTATTGTTTTTGGGACTGCTTTGGTTTGGATGCTAAGAGTCATTATGTAATTGATGGCCATACAAAATGAATGAATGAATGAATGAATGAATGAATGAATGAATGAATGAATGAATGAATGAATGAAT